GTCATGGTCACAGCATCATGGATCAGGAAGAGCTCCCAGAAGTTGTCATAGTGAACTTCGGCATGAGTCAACAACAAAGTGGCCAGCCTTCCTTGTTAGAGTGTTTCTAGTTCAGATTGTCTCTTCCTCCTTCCTCCCTCCTTCCCCTTCTGTGTTCTTTTGAACACTTAGGTTATTAACTATTTTTCTTTCAAATAATATACACTTTTCCTATTATTTGTCATGTGACTTTTTTTATGATGACTCTGATGACTTAATTTATGATACATTTTCTTGTAATTTTATTTTTAATTTTTACAAATGTGTATGCATTTTTCTTTGCTTTTATGAATTTTTCGGTTTCTAATCTTCCTCTAGAAAGTTCTCGTACCTTTGAAGTTATATAAATATTATTTTAAAATTTATTTTAATACTTTTACCATTTCTAAAATTTAGATCTTTTGTTCACCTTAAAACTATACATCATTTTAGGGTGGCTTTATCTTTCAGATAAAGAAACCAATGGTAGATAACTGATTATGATATAAATAATACTTAAATATAATCCTTCCTCACCAGTGCAGGTCAGCTAGGACTCGACTCTGCTCTGTTCTCAGGCCCAGGCTGACAAGGCAGCCACTCTCTGGAATGATACGAATGTAATTTAGAATACCTCTTAATTAGAGAGGATGTGCTAATAGGGAGTCAGGAGAGGAAAGAGTAAGGTAGGGAGGAGAATGAATTTTATCCTTAAATCTGATTCCCGTCAGATGTGATTCCTATTGCTTATGTGTATTTTCCCCCACCTTATTTCCAGCACTGATTAATTCAATTTGACCCATTTTTGTAAAACCAGGCAGTGACTGGTAGGCAGGAAAGATGACTTCAAATTCAACTTGGCCAATCAGAGGTTCTTTGGAGCCATGGTGGATGCTCAGTGATAGATACTTCTTTATATTGACGCTGCAATCAGATCTTTGGAATGGCTGCTTACATATTGGTCTGAGGATGGGAATTTATATCCAAAGGGTTGTTTTGCAGTTGTAAATCTTTATAAGTGAAATGAAAGTCTTTTCTTGCTTAATTCAGTCCCACAGTCAATCCATCACCTTTTGAAGGCCAAATGGTACAGAAATACAGTATTTTCAGTTTGGGTTATCTCTATATTTCTTCTGCTGTCAAATAGCAGTTAAGCTGATGTGGGAGGATTATTTTGATAAGGCCATCTCTAAAGACAGAATTCAAAACAAGAACCTTATGATCCCCCTCATTAATGTCAAATAAATGGTATCCTGCTAGATATTGTTGGGACACTTCTGGAAAAGCCGTTCTCTTTCAAATTACACTGTGTTATATTTTCTGAAGAATGTTTGGGTGTTGTTTGAAATAGTTTAGAATAAAAGCTTTTAAGAATGGTTGGCTTTTAATTGGAAACTGTGGTTTATCCCAGAGAGTAGCTCCTGGGTAATTAATAGAGAATGATCTTAGTTCTATTTCAGAACAAGCTGAACAGGACCATCCCAGTGTGGGGAGCTCTGAGCAGTTAGAAGATGGTATGAGCACAATGAGCTCTTGGGGGTGGGGAAGAGAGTTTCAGAACCAGTGGCTGAAAGCACCCAGGAGACCAATCTTAGCTCCTTTGCTGCTTTGCTCTTTGCTGGGTGTCTTAAAATGGGCCTTGTCACAAGGTCACCTGGTGTTAGTGGCCCAAGAGTTATCCTGGCCATTTGGGTTATCCTTGAGGCTATGTTCCAGCCCAGGAGAAATGTAAGCCTGTCATCTGCTTTAGAAAAGTGGACTCTGGGGATACAAAGCCAATTTATATTTCTCATGCTTTGTAGTCCAAGGAAGTGAGAGGTAGATTCTGATTCAAGGGTGACAACAACTGACAATGTTTATTTAATTCAACTAAAATTTATTAGGCCCTTAATATGTACAGGACACTGTATCAGGTGCTGCAGGAAAAACCAAGGAGTTATCTATTAGTGGGCATACATGAAAGTCAGAATACGGTAAGGAGGAATAATCAAGGCATTACTGATTTTGAAAAGGAAAGAAATCCCAGGAGATGGTGAATTCCTTTTTATTTTGGTGAGGAAGATTGGCCCTGAGCTAACATCTGTTGCCAACCTTCCTCTTTTTGCTTGAGGAAGATTGTTGCTGAGCTAACATCTGTGCCAGTCTTCCTCTATTTTGCATGTGGGTCACTGCAACAGCATAGCTTGATGAACAGTGTGTAGGTCCATGCCTAGGATCAGAACCCACAAGTCCCAGGCCACCGAAGTGGAGTATGCACTTAACCACTACACCATTGGGCTGGCTCAGGTGGTGAATTCTTAATGAAAGAGTTATTTGATATGAACTTTGACAGGGAGAATCAATTCCAAGTCTCCCAGGTGGAAATAGGAGGTCTGGTACCTCCAACGAGAGGGGAGACCATGCATTCTAACTTTCACTCTAGCGAGCATCAACTTCATCCAAAACATTGGTTTCCTGCTAGGGGAAGAAAGTCAAAACAGACATGGACTGTGCAGGAAGGAACTCCAGTAGGGAGATAAGATACATTAATAAATAAATATGATACAAGATAGAAAGTAATGCATTACACAGGAAGTATAGATACTTGTTCTTGGAATTGCGTTACAATTTAGAGAGATAATACTCAGCATGACAGGAGGCCAGAGATGGGGATTTGGAGACACTCACATACATCTTATAGAATTTCCACTATGTTATCTAATTTTAATCTTAAAAGAACTGTGAGAGGTAGATAACACAGGACAGTCTAAGATTTATTATCCCTGTTTTGAAGATGATGAAACTCAAGTCAAGAGAGGAGGGTTTTTATCATTATTTTTGGTTATAGTTTTGTTTCACTCCTCAACATGTGGTTTCAAAAGAGTGTTCTCGCTAAAAGGAATTCATCACGAGTTGGGACCAGGGCATAGCTTGTTTTATTCTAGCTAATCAGCTGATTGGACATTATGGATGGTCACTTCTTGGTGTTTTTGATTGGTAACTCGGATGCTGAAGTTGCCTGAAGCTCAGTTTCCTCACGTGTCAAGTGGGGAGTACTAAAGTCTGCCCTTATTACAAAAATCAAATGGGAAAGCCCTTTAAAAATGATAAATCACTACACAAAGGTGAGGTGTTAAGTTTTGCATGGTGAGCATTCAATTCCAATTCAGCGCCATGACATCATTTTAAACATTCACCCCAGCGAAAGACGCTGAAAATCTGAAATATTGAGGCCTGTGAGGAATTTGTCACAATCAGCAAAATTGAACGATCGCTCAGTTGTTCACATTCTAGTTGGAGCTATATTTTCACTTAGCTTTGAAAAGCAAAAAAGATCAATTTTACTGTAATGTTACAGAGCTGCCTTTTTCAACCTCACAAACAGAGAAACAGCAGTGTGTAGCGCCACTGTGACTATGCTGAGATAATTTAAGAGATCCTGATGGACTTCAGAATTAGTTTTATAGATGTTGGTTTCAGTTACAGTACTATTGTACTTCTGACACCTTAAAACATGTGTGGATGTACTGCTAAGCCATGAACAGAGGCAAAACCCAACAACAACAAAGAAACAGAACTTGCTAATCTCTGACACACAGGTCTTAAGGTTACTTTGCAACTTCTTTCTTCCAGAGGATCACTCAGAGTTAAAATGGTGGGAACTATTATTAGTCATTTACTGTCCTGTCTGATACTATGAATACCAGATCACTGGTTGCATATGTGCTGCAAATTTGTTGTCTGTAATAGAACAGAGCTTCTTGAGATTAAAAATAAAGGGTAAAAAGAGCATGGAGATTTAAATTTGCCTAGTGGCAATATTTTTCTGCACAATTGTGGCTGCTGGTGTAATGGAATATAATAGAGATGATCGTCTTGCTTGTGGCGTGAATTCACACATAAAAGCAGCTGGCTCACTAGCTCTTACGACTAGCGCTATTTTCTCTTTCTTCTCCACCTTCTTCTCTTTCTTCCTTGAAACTCTTTTCAGTGAGGAAATCTAGTCTCTGAACTGATCCAGAGATCTTTCTAGCAAAAATAAATTTGTTCAGTGTTAAATTTTAGAAAGATGAACTGAACAACCATGGCAGTTTCCATTAATCCAGAAAACCTTTCAGCATTACAAGCTCTCCCAGGAAGGACATTTTTTTCCCCAGTCCTGTAAGTGCTTTCTGATGTATAAATACACCCCCTGAAAAGACACCTGAATAACCTCAGCCACATTTGCCATATTATAACATCAGAATGTTCAGTGAGAGGGCGTAAAAGTCTTGAGTATTAGAGAAGGGATTTTTGCGGTTAATGAAAGCTCCTAGGAATCAACATCTTTGACTTTTAAAGGGGAGAGATTGACTGCAATTTCTACATCAATGTCAGGTTAAGAAAATATACCTAAATATAGGAACATATTTGAAGATTCACATAAAAAGAGGCCACTGGCTGGAAAATAAATTAATTTTATTGATAATGACTGTGAAGCAGCTTTACACAATGCATAAAGTACCCAAAGAGTACGCTAGAGCTGACAACTGTACAGCAGATCTGATTGGTGGGGAGCCTGCCAGAAACATACAGAGAGGACTTCTGCTCCAAAGTCAGGATGAACACATGCGCTATATCAACTGGACCATGAGGGTTCGGAAAAGAATTGCATTACATTGCATTACGTTACATTAGCCTTTGTTGTAGAAAGGCTTCCTTGTTACAACTGCACAACTGGGGAAACCGAGGCAAGGGTGGTAGAGTGGAGGATTTGGATAAAGTATTTGAGAAGTGATTTTCAGTTCTGAAGGTCTCTATAATGCTCAGATCTAATTAATATATCCCGTAGCCTTCCTTTTTTTTTTTTTTTTTTAAAGATTGGCACTGGAGCTAACAACTGTTGCCAATCTATTTTTTTTTCTTTCTGCTTTTTCTCCCCAAATGCCCCCAGTACATAGTTGTATGTTTTAGTTGTGGGTCCTTCTATATGTGGTACGTGAGACCCCCCCTCAACGTGGCCTAATGAGCGGTGCCATGTCCGCGCCAGGATCTGAACCAGCGAAACCAGGGGCTGCTGCAGCGGAGCAGGCAAACTTACGCACTCGACGGGGAGGCCCCTCCTACAGTCTTTCACATTTTCGTCCTTACATCTCTGCCTAACCCTGGAACAGGTAACACCCAAATTATTCAAAAGTGTTTTAATGTTGGGGTAGACGTTTACAGATTTAAAAAGCACTTTCTCATAAACTGGGAGAGTAGGAAAATTACTGACTCATTCAAATGTTCATGCTGTCTTAATTTTTTTCTCTAGTTTTCGAATTCCAGCAGGTAGCTCAAGTTTGCAATGCATTGCGTTAGGGCTTTGGCCACAGCTGAGAGGTGAAGCACCCTTCTTCTCCAGGCACATGAAAAAACAGGAATTTATTGAGAAGACTACAACGTGTTGCTGGAAGGGCAGAAAGCAACAGAGTACCCTTGGGATGTAGGGGATATCTAAAAGAATGGAGAGTGACTGAGATTTCTCTGGGTCCCTGGGTGTGGCTCCTAGCTATTACTCATTCCCAGCATATACCTCACATTTGGAGAGTGAGAATGGAAAAGATTCAAAAGCATGGCTTAGTGGTACACCTAAAGAAGCTTGAACCTGGCACAAATCAGCCCAAAGCCACTGACAGTTGGGCCTGAAGGGACCTTACAGGTTGAGATAGTGACTGTACTGGCAGAAACCGATGAGTATTGATGGCCTATTACTGCTGTACTGACTTTCACAACCCTATGGATTTATGACTTAAAGATCGGGTGATTAGTTAAAGGCAAAGCAAAAGCAAGAACCCAGATCCTCTCACGCCCCAACCAGATTCCTTTCTGTTACAGGGCTCCAACCTCAACTTTTTCAATTGAAGCTAGCTCTAAATTCTAATCCCACATCAGCTGCCAAAGATTTCGTCTCTGGAAATCCAGCTGTTAAAGCTATTTTTCCCCAGTAGAAACATGGAAGAATTTATATTTTTATGACTCCTTTCCCAGGGACCCTGAATGAATAAAAAAGCTACATGTGCACAGGGCCTTTTTAGCTGTTTGGAAGCATCCTATTATCTATATTCAAAACAGTTGCTGCTGGGGTGCCTTTGCTTCAAGGGGATTGAGAAGAGGATAAGAGGGAGTTTATGACTTATCACAATTGAAAAAATGTGTCCATTGGTTAGGCTGCATCAATTAAGTAAAAGATAGCATTTCTATGCTTTTGACAGGAATAAGAGCAAAATATTTTAATAATCCAATTGTTTCATGCTGATTAGGATCTTTCTAAAGCTCATCTCATATTGTAGATTACTAGAACAAAGAAGAATTAAATAATTACATAATGAACATAGTTTATTGAATATAATAATGCTTTTGCAGTTTTCCCCCTCATTTGAATATGTGCATGTCAGTTGTATGAAGGTTTGATGTACATACAATACAATTCACTAATTTTAAGTGTATAATGTTATGAGTTTTGATAATTGTGTAAAATCTTATAAGTACTACTACAGTCATGATAGAACATTTCCATTACCTGCAGAAAGTCCCCTCCTGTTCCTTTGTAATCAGTCGTCTCCTCTATCCACGACCTTCGGAGGCCACTGATGATATTCCTCTTCTTAATTTTAATTTTAATTTGATAAGAACACTTAACATGAGACACATTCTCTTAACAGATGTTTACGTGTGCAATACTGTGTTGCAAAGTAATCTCAATGTTGTAGAGATCTCTTATTCATCTTGCATATCTGAAACTTCATGCCTATTGATCAGGAACTCCCATTTCCCTTTCCTCCAGCCCCCGGAAACCACTCGTGTATTCTCTGCTTCCATGAGTTTGACTATTTTAGATATCTCATATAAGTGGAATCTTGCAATATTTGCCCCTCTGTGACTGGCTTATTCCACTTAACATAACGTCTTCAGGGTTCATCCATGCCGTCACATATTGCAGGATTTCCTTCTTTTTAAAGGCTAAATAATATTCTATTGTGTGTATGTGCTACAGTTTCTTTATCCATTCATCTGAAGATGGACATTTAGATTGTTTCTACTTCTTGGCTATTGTGAATAGTGCTGCAATAAACATGGGAGTGCTAATTTTTCTTCGAGATCCTGATTTTTGTTCTTTTGGATAAATACCCAGGAGTGGAATTTATAGAGCGTATGATAGAAAACAATGTGGATTAGAGTAGCAATAAATGAAATAGAGAATAGAAAAACAATAGAAGGGCCAGCCCCATGGCCAAGTGGTTATGTTTGCACACTCTGCTTTGGTGGCCCAGAGTTCACAGGTTCAGTTTCTGGGTACGGACCTATGCACCACTCATCAAGCCATGCTATGGTGGCTTCCCACATAGAAGAACTAGTATGACTTACAACTAGGGTATACAACTATGTACTGGGGCTTTGGAGAGAAAAAAAAAAAGAGGAAGATTCACAACAGACGTTAGCTCAGGGCCAGTCTTCCTCAACAAAAAGCAAAATAAGGGAAAACAATAGAAGAAATCAACAAAAAGTGAGAAGACACAAATAAATAAAATAAGAAATGAAAAAGATGTTACAACTGATGCCACAGAAATAATAAAGACTATAAGAGACTACTATGAACAATTATATCCCTACAAACTGGATGATCTGGAAAAAACGGATAAATTCCTAGAAATGTGCAACCTACCAAGACTGAATCATGAAAAAATAGTAAGTGTGAACAAACCTATAATTAGGAAGGAGATTGAATCAGTAATTGAAAACCTCCCAACAAAGAAAAGCCCAGGACCAGATGGCTTCACTGGTGAATTGTACCAAACATTTAAAGAAGAATTAATGCCAGCCCATCTCAAACTGTTCCAAAAATTTGAAGAGAAAGGTGCAATTCCAAACTAATTTTATATGTCCAGCATCACCCTGATACCAAAGCCAGACAAAGACACCACAAGAAAAGAAAACTATGGGCCAATATCCTTGATGAACATAGATACAGAAATCCTCAACAAAATACTAGCAAACCAAGTTTAACAGAACATTAAAAGGATCAGACACCATGACCAAGTGAGATTTATCCCTGGGATGCAAGGATGGTTCAACATAAGAAAAACAATTAATCTGATACATCACATTAACAGAATAAAGGATAAAAATCACATGATCATCTCAATAGATACAGAAAAAGTGTTTGATAAAATTTAACATCCTTTCATGTTAAAAACTTTCAACAAACTAAGAATAGAGAGAAATTACTTCAATGTAATAAAAGTCATATATGAAAAGCCTACAGCTAATATCACACTCATTGGTGAAAAACCAAAAGCTTTTCCACTAAGGTGAGGAACAATGCAAGGATGCCCACTGTTGACACTTTTATTCAACAAAGGACTGAAATCCCAGACAGAGCAATTAGGCAAGGAAAACCATAAAAGAAGTCATCAAAACCAAAAAGGAAGAAATAAAATCATTCCAGTTTGCAGATTACTTGCTCTTATATATAGAAAACCCTAAAGACTACACACACACACACACACACACACACACACACACACAAATTTTAGAACTAATCAAAGAATTTGGTAAAGTTGAAGGATACAAAATCAACATATAAAAATCATTTGCATTCTATACACTAACAACAAACTACATAAAAAAATAAGAAAACAATCCCATTTACAAAGAATAAAAAGAAGAAAATGCTTAGGGATAAAGGTAACTAAGGAAGTGAAAGATTTGTACATTAAAAACTATAAAACATTGATGAAAGAAATCAAAGAAGACACAAACAAATAGAAAGACCCCGTGTTCATGGATTGGAACACTTAATATAATTAAAATTGTTAAAATATCCAAACTACCCAAAACTATCTAAAGATTCAATGCAATCTGTATCAAAACCTCAATGGCACTTTTTATAGAAATAAAAAAAGAATCCTAAAATTCCCATGGAATCACAAAGGACACTGAATAGCAAGAACAATCTTGAGAAAGGAGAGCAAAGCTGAAGGCTTTACACTTCCTGACCTCAAAACATATTAGAGAGCTGCAGTAATCGAAATAGTACGGTACTGGCATAAAGACAGACTGGAGACCAATGGAACAGAATAGAGAGCCCAGAAATAAATCCACACATACGTGGTCAACTGATCTTTGACAAGACTGACAAGGATATGCAATAGGGAGAGGACAGTCTCTTCAACAAATGGTGTTGGGAAAAACTGGATATGCACATGTAAAAGAATGAAATTGGACCCACATCTTAACATCACACACAAAAATTGAATGTTCTTGATCTCAATCCCAATGGGTGGAGAGAGGTTTCCGCCATACTACCAAGCAGTTCTGCAAGACCAGCTGGATGTCCTACAATTCAACTCAATTCTAACACTATCTACCTGGAGATAGCATCAGATTCCACAGGTTAAGGGCTCAGTCCACAAGACCACCCTCTGCTTCAGATACCAATCCCAAGCCCAGGTTGTTACCCGTGCTTCTGACCAACTGGCTATAAATCAGATGTTCCCATGACCTCCTCCTTGGGTTCAGTTAATTGGCCAGAGTGGCTTACAGAACTCAGGAAACCTATTTATTCACTAGATTACTGATTTATTACAAAGGATATTAAAAGATACAAACCAACATATAAAGAGGTACATAGGGAAAGGTATGGGATAAGGACTCGGAGCCTCCTTGCCCTCTCTAGGCACACCCTTCTCCATGTGCTCACCAACCCAGAAGCTCTCCAAACCTCATCCTTTGGGTTTTTGTGGAGGCATCATTACATAGGCATGATTGATTAAGTCATTGACGTTTGGAGATTGATTCAACCTCCCCTGAAATCAGGGGATGGGACAGAAAGTTCCAACCCTCTAATCGTGGTTGGTTCCTGTGACTACCAGCCCCCTACTTAGGTGCTTTCCAAAAATCACCTCATTAGCATACACCCAGTTGTGATGGAAAGGAGGTTGTTATGATTAACAAGACATCCATTTGACCTTTCCGGCTCTGAAGAGATTTCAGGAACTGAAGACAAGAGACCAAACATAACAAAAGATGCTCCCATTGCTCTTATCTCTCAGGAATTTCCAAGAGTTTTGGGAGCTGTGAGCCAGGAACTGTGGATGAAGACTTATATATATTTCTTATTATAAATCACAAT